TATTAAGATTTGAGTATATTCTGAAGATAGTTGTTTTTTCTAAATAAAGCTAATCAAAATCCTCAAAAAAAAAGTTAATAAAAAATTAAGGAAATACCACGTATAAAAACATTTGCGTTTTATCGCACAAGGCGCGAGAACTTTTGCCCAATGCTATAACAATGTTCTTCTTTGTAAATAACTAATGTAATATTGTTATGCGGGCATTGCAATATATATATTATGAATGATTCTTACATTTTTTGTCAATTGTCAAATCTATTATACTTTCACTCCAATAATTATCCAAGTAGTTTTATAATGAATTGACTATTTCTCAAGTATATGAAATCGGTGCAATGATTGAAGGGTTTTATAATGAATTGTATTAGTAGTTTTATGAACTACATTAGCTTGATCACATGCGAGGCCCAAGGGTTGGTGCCCAACAGAAATTGGATTTAAGAATTGTAATTTTTTCTTAGTGTTTTCAAGCATCTTATGAATTTATATAAAAAGGCCGGGTTGATTATTAAAGAACTTCATATAAAAATCATTTAGTTCTATAACAAACATAGAAGAATCTATGGACACGCTATGATGGGTTAAAGCCCAGTGTTACTTAATTCTTTTTCAATTTTTTTAGTGTAATTTTTTTCATTTTCATATTCAACCCACTCCCTAATGTTTAAGCCTTGTATAATTGCTTCTAAGTCCATGACATTTTAGATTTCTGGATTCGCCCATGCAAACATCTATCTTACAACTTATATAATGGTTACGGTTATTACCAATATGTACAAATAAGTGCAATTATGTATGGAATATAATAGTTATAGATTAACTGGTATTGCTATATTGGTAGCCGCAAGTTGAAGTTCAATTTGAGATGTTACCCTAGTTACTCCCTCCGTAACAAAAAAATCTCCTCACTTTCCTTTTTCGTCCATAACAAAAAAAATCACATTTATCAATCTTCCCATCATACCCTCAATAATTTTGCAAATAATACACTATTACAACTACTTCTTTTGGGTTTATCCCTCATTCTATCGCATTATTCCACTATCTTCCCATCATACCCTTAATAATTTATATTCTCTTTCACTATTCTTAATTTAACTGGGAAAATTTTAAAGTTGCGGAGGGAGTATGATTTTAGGAGCAAAGATGAGGTGTATAAATGGAACGGTGAACACATGATAATCTTTGGATAATTGGATTTATAGCAAGCGACTATTGCCGGATCAGTTTCACAATCGAGAATGGCCAATTTGAGATGTTTTGTTCACTGTATTTCGTTAATATGCCTTGCATCGACGACGGAGGAGGGCAAGATGCTGAGCGGATCCAACTTAACGGAATATAAACGTCAGTTGGGAACATCAAGGGTAAATATTAAATAAGACATAAGAACAATTGATCGAGTTCCATTTTTTAAAGCAATGTACAATCTTTCATGCACAAAATGTGTTGACACAAATAAAGGGTACCAACCTTTATTTATACTTATAATGTTGTTAGATTAGATTTTAATTTAAGAAGCAATACAAGGAGTTAGTTTAAATTTGAAAGAGGCCGTGAGTTTGGTGAGCTACGGTCTACAAGTAAGTACTTCAAATATGAAAGAGGACAAATTTTTCCAACAATGGGAAGAAAAGGGTGCGCTGGTAACCGAGTGTTCATCGCTGTGGTGAAGGAATAGAGATTGGGTGGTTTATTTAGGGTTACTATTGGTCTGAGTTTCTTGAGTGAGGGAATAGAGAATGGGTGAGCTTTATTTGAATTATTTTATTGGATGGGCTAAGCAATATGAAATAAGAAGTAAAAATAAATGGAGGGAAGTAAATTTTATGGAGGGAAATGAAAAGTGAAAATTTTGTTTAGGATAAAAATTTGCAATTTTTTTATATTGTGTCACTATTATGTATTGATGTTTTTATGTCATAAACGTATGACACTTAAACATCGCTAATAATATATGTCGTCTATGCATGACACTATAGACAAAAGTGTCACTGCAAAAGTGTCACTATAAGACAGTTTTCTACTAGTGAGAGTAAAAGAGACTCTCTATCTTTGTACTCAATATTTTATATTAATAACATTATCTTTTATTCCTCCAAGTCTCAACATAAATAATTATAATTTGCAAAAAATATGTTGAAGTTTAAGATTTGGCTGCTTCTAAAAAAATAATCCGAGAAGTATCTTATGACTATTATGAGCTTATTACTTTCCAAGGGGAGATTTGCAATTTTCCTCCTATGACTTTCGGTCATTTTTATTGTTAGTCTCGTAACTTTACACACTTGTAAATATGGTCATGTAAATAATAAATCTTTGCGATTTAACGACTCCACAAAAAAAGTACACTTTCCGACAATTGTATAACAGAAAAGATGTTCGTGTCAGATTTTTTTGCCGGAAAGTGTCATTTTATGGTAAAAAAGTCCTTAAACTGCAATGATTTATTAATTAAATGATCAAATTTGCACATGACCTGAGAAAATTTACAATACCAAATCTCCTTTTTCTAAGTTACAAGTAGCTTGTGATTTTGTGTCATGGGTTTAGAATAGGAAGTAAGAAAGATGAGTTCTTATGTTGATTTCACTTATCTATGTTATTATTTGATCTTTGATAAGTTTTGTAATAACAAATATTATCTTTATCTTCTATCTAATCTAATACATAAAAGCAAAACAATTTTGCACTGTTCATTTTACAGTACTCCCGCCTAAACATTTCAATGGTTCAATTAAAAATAAAAACACATCTCAGTCGTCCCTGTTGTTCACCTCTTCCTCCATTTCTCCACGGATGGCCATTCATCAATGTCGGCTGTGCAATGCCCTTCACCTTCCTTCACTTATTTGGCCTTCATCCCGTCCATAACTATATCCATGTCCTTCCTCCATCCATTTTCCTTTTCAACCTCTGGGTGGAAGTTTCAATTTTCATGTTTTATACTACGTACTACGTATGTTTTCTTCACCAACTGCGCACCCCAATCAGAGGTCTCCTTGTCAATGACTACCTCTCCGCTGGTCTAACCTTAACCCATCCATACACGAGTACTTCAACTTCTCGGAGATCCACAATCCTCCAATGTTTGAAAATAAGGTATTCAGATGTTCTTCAAATTTTAGTTGTAACAACCAATAAAATATTAAGACACAAATTGACATATAATGTCTCGAGCAACTTATCATATCATGTTTCTGAGAAATTCCTACATTTAGTTCTTTGTTTTCCGTTTTGATTTATTTCAATCATGCGTTTTACTTTAAAACGTCGAGATTGAATTTGAATCAATACTTTGTTTGGAACATGTTTGTTAAAATGTCTCAATGAAGTATAACCGTGTAACTCTCTTCACTGGGAGCCCCATTTTTGGGAGCCCCATTTTTTTAAAACTTGTACACAGTTTTTCATTTTTATTACAAATCACTTAATTTTAATTTTGAGTTATAAAATGAGGTCTCAATTTAGTAAATGTAATAGGGCCTTCAAAATGTGTTAGACGTCCCTCAGGGTTAGAGTAGTGAAACAGTTAGCACAAACATGAGATTGAAGTATAGATGGATGATGAAGGAGAGGGTGGTGAGTGATGATCTGTGAAAGAGAAGATGGTGACTAGTAATCGTTAGGGGCGAAGGCGACCGATGATCGGTGAGGGTGCTGATTGTGACTGATGATCGGTGGTACACGACTACACGCTGGTGCGAGGGGGTAAGACAATGATTTTATATCCTAAACTTTGGGCTTTGAGCTACTATTAGGTTTTGGAATAAAAAAAACTCATTTGGGCTGGATTTTTAACAATTCATTGAAACGGTAATACTTCGTATTGGTTTACGGAGTTTATTAAAGCAAACTTTTAAAAAATTTAATATCCGGAATAATATACTTTTGGTGATCTCTCTCCGTCTCTAAATAAACATCCCACTTTCCTATTCGGCATGTCCCTTAAAGATGTTCCCTCTCCCTTAAAGATGTTCCCTTTCCTTATTTAGTAAATAAAACAGGGCCAAACAGTGTCGCTTTGTTGAATTGCGTCAAAGTCAAACGAGACCTTTTAAATTGGGATGAAGAGAGTATTATTTATAGAAATTGAACAAAAACTTACTTTGTTAAATTTTCTAAATGAATTGCAAGTATTGAAGATAGAAAATTATAGGACCGAATGTAGTAATCTTATAATTTAATTTCAATATAATAAAGTTCTATTTCTCATGACATTTATGGCATAAATTGCTACTACCTCCATCTCACTAAGATTGGGATAAAAGAAGGTGTCACGATTATTAAGAAAAATGAGTTTGTGTGGTTGATATTATATTGATAAAGTAAGAATAAAGTAAGAATGATTTAGAGCCACACAAATATTACCAAATTTGGTATGTGACAATCTTAGTGGGATTTCCGGAAAAGGTAAACTGAGACAATCTTAACGGGACGGATAATGTATTTTTTATTACTCCATATTTATTTTTACAATAGTGTACAATTTAATTTATGTTTACAGTTTATATTTATCGCATTAAATTATGAAAATATATATATTCAAATGGATAAATATTAAATTAGCCTTATAATTCTTGTGCATTGCACAAGTACTATACTAGTTTATTTAGTTATAAAATTCAGATCAAAAGGCATTTCTGCGAGCAGAAAGGGCGGGGCAAGCCTAAAAAAATTATTCCCTCCGTCCCAAAATTAACTTCTCTCTTTCCTTTTCGAGCAATCCCGAAATTAACTTCACACTTCAAAACTTTCCTTATTTGGCAAATAATCACATCAAAAAAGTGTCAAACAATGCCAAATAGTGTCCAAATAGTGTTTAAACAGTGCAAAACAGTGCATTCCACAGTAAAGTCAAATTTATTTTCTTAATCTGTGTGAAGTCAAACTGAGAAGTTAATTTTGAGACGGAGGTAGTAAAACTTTTTAGGCCCATCAAATCAACCTAATTTTATCAAGCCCAACTGGCCAAGGGTCCAAAATTAAGAAGCGCGTAGTACTTTGAGGAAGCCGAGCAGACATCTCTGGATCAAACCCGTCAAGTCGCCGACTTCCTTCGCGGCTTCGTCCTCCGGCAGGTGCCAGCACGGCAGCACCGCCACTTCGCCAGGAGCCAGCACCGTAGCACGCCTTGTTAGTCGTCGCCTACTCGCCACACGCCCGTCTCCCGGTCTCCCGCTCTCCACCACTCACCCTTAGGCGGTTCGGCCTACCCGGCCATCTCAATATCCGCCTTCCGACCTTCCCTAGTTCCAGTATTCCTCCAGTCCTCTTCTCTTTTGTTGATTAGTTTCTGTATTTTTTCCTAGTGATACCCCTAATTTATGCCAATCATCTATCGCATTCACATTTAGACCTAGGTGCACATCTATTTCAGTTGCTCTGTACGACGGCTTGAACACGGTTAAAACTTGTGTCTTGAATTCAAAATAATCGACATTGGAAGATCTCTATTATTTTAATTTTAATTTTAATTTATAGTCATGCATGAACAATCTTTTCAAAATCAAAGGTTCTAAATGGTTGGTTTACTACTCTGCTTACAAATAATGAAAGGTACTAACCCCAGTAATTAATTACTATTGTGTTCTCAATAATGAGTTACGGAGTATCTGCAGACTATTAACTACTATAGTAAAAATCTATAACGATATTTATGTACTTAACACATAGTATATACTTCCTTCATCCCTAAATAAACATCTCCTTTCCTTTTCGGTATGCCCCTTAATAATGTACCCTTTCCTTATTTGGTAAGCAAAACAGTGCCAAACAGTACAAACAATGTCAAACAGTGCCAAACATTGTACAAACAATGTCATATAGTGTCCAAACAGTGCTATTTTCTTAAATTGTGTGTAGGTCAAAGGGGACCTTTTAAATATGGACGGAAGGAGTATGTAATATGAGAGCATGTGAAGTGTTATAAAGTCTAATACTCTTTAGATTTTTTGTAAAGCATAGATATCTCTATTCTAAGACATAATTCTTAATTATATGTCTTTTAAAGAGATTAAAATGATCTGTTGTAGTCAGGTTAAAAGTAATAGGAAAAACTGCTAATGCAGCTTTCTAAAGAAAATTTAGTTGGGTAGGACATTGAATAATTCAAGCTTTTGGATATAACGCATCTTTTAAACCAATATTCAATCTGTTTGCTACTCTGCTTACAAATAATGAAAGGTACTAACCGTAGTAATTAATTACAATCATGTTCTCAATAATGAATTACAGAGTATATGCAGACTATTAAATACTATAGTAAATATCTATAATGATAGTTATGCACTTCATGTGTAGTATATATGTAATATGCGAGCATGTGAAGTGCTATAATGTCCAATACTCTAGTTTTTTTGTAAAACATAGTTATCTCTATTCTAAGCCATAATTTATAATTATATGTATTTTATGGAGATTGAAATGATCTGTTGTAGTCAGGTTAAAAGTAATAGGAAAAACTGCTAATGTAGCTCTCTAAAGAAAATTTAGTTGGGTAGGACATCGAATAATTCAATCTTTTGGATGTAACACATCTTTTAAAACAATATTCAATCTGTTTTTGGGAAAATTTGGATACAGCCTTTGACGTTTATGTGAAATTTGTGCTTACAAATATATTCTTGTCTTAGATAGTTTGAATTTAATGAGTATATTAGTAGGTAAATCATTTTTTTTATTTAGTAAACACAAAATAGAGCTGGTAGCACTCTATTAAATAAGCACCAAATATTTATGAAGTGTCCATTTGGCAGTGTTTTTTCTTATTAAGCTTATCAATCAGATGTTAAGCTTAACAATAATTTTTTAAGCTCTGAACTATGTAATAATAGTAAGAAGTAATAATTTGAAGTGAGTTGCATAAATATACTATAACCTGTAATGGATGGGCTCATTCCAAAAATTTAGCAGAAGTGGAGAACCTGATACCTTTTAAAGAACCTGTATTTTCAACCATTAACATGACTACATTTTGTGTGTAAAGATAGACTGAACAATCGATCAATGGAAGAGGTCGAGCAGAAGACGCCGGTAATTTTTAAAGACATTAGGAGATACTGCTGCAAGTTCTGTGGTATTATCCGTTCCAAGAAAACACTCATCTCTTCTCATATCCTTTCCCATCACCAGGTACTTCTACCAGCGTGCATTATTGGTTTATCAAACGATCAAAAATTGGGGGGAATTGATTTTTATTTATATAAATCGACTAGGATGAGCTCAAATCAAAAAGCGAATCTGAAGATTCGGATGAAAAGTTGCCAAAAATTCACACATGTGAAGAGTGTGGCGTGAAGTTCAGGAAATATGCCTATTTGAAGCAGCATATGCAAAGTCATTCCCCTGAGGTATCACATAGAGATTTAAGCCTGGAGAGTAGTTTATATGTGGCTAGGTCAATTGCCTATTTGATTAGCGTATTTTGTCTTTCAAAAATTTAGTTTTTTGTATGCATGTTTATCTCTATATTTATTCAGACCTGGATCCACAGTCCACACGCATATATTTATACTTTTAAAGAGCTAGATTTGTTATTGGTTCCGCTTTATTTTGTGACCGCGTACAACCTGGGTTTCAGAATCTTGTGTGGTCTTGCAGATTGAGATTTAAAGGTTTAATTGATTATCCATGATCAGAAGTGTGAAGCATTGGATCCCATTCAATGAACTCCAAAATGCGCATGGCATTCATATGATCTTGAATGGAATAGTACCAGGCAGGGGGACCTCCTGAGAAGCTCCATCAAGTAGGCCTGAATCACGCTGTCTTCTTCCGGTGTGCATAGAGATCCTACCCCTTCCCTATTCTCTATTTTTTCTTCGTTTCCACCTTTTTAGCTTGATTTTTCAATAGTTTAAGTTATTTGTCCTTTTCTCTCAAATAGAGGCCATTCACTTGCCCAATAGATGATTGCAAGTCTAGCTACAGAAGGAAGGATCACTTGACTAGACATCTCCTTCAGCATAAAGGCAAGCTGTTTGATTGTACGGTTGATGGTTGTGGCCGTAAATTTAGTTACAATAGTAATGCTAAGCGTCATGTACTGGAGATGCATGACCAGTGTTCTGCAAGTGATGATGCTGAAGCACCAAAGCAGCAGCAGGTGTGCACTGAAGTTGGCTGTGGAAAGTCTTTCAAGTATCCATCCCAATTAAAGAAACATGAAGATTCACATGGTGTGCCTCGCTACTAAAGAATATTATTATCAATTAAAGAAACATGAAGTTTCTAAGCGCTTGACTCGTGAACTCTTTGATTTGCTTATTAGCTTCATCAGCCAGTTCTTTTACCAAAGTTAACTTATTTCACTATGCTGTCTGAATCGCTGATGATGGAAAACACTGCATGCGTTACTGGTTTGGCTGGAATTGGTACTAATGTCTTTATAGATGTTATTGTTTTTATTTAAATCTATACTTTAATGGTAATTCAGCAGTTTTTAGTTAATTCAGCCAATCCAGCCAATTTAGTCCTCACCAAAAGGGATCTATGTTTAAAAATTCTAAGGATGTAACTAAAATATACTCATGGTTTTTACTTGTTACAGTGAAGTTAGAGACAGTTGAAGCATTTTGTGCAGAACCTGGGTGCTTAAAGCATTTCACTAATCAACAGTGCCTTAAAGAACACATTCTGTCCTCCCACCAACATATTGTCTGTGAGACATGTGGAACAAAGCAACTAAAGAAGAATATAAAGCGTCATCTTCGAACGCATGAAGCTCGGCCTTCGTCGGAGAGAATCAAGTGCGACTTTAAGGACTGTGAGCGTACATTTGCAACAGTAAGCAGTCTATTCCTAATACCTTGGAATTGCATTTCCATTTGCCTCACCCAACTTGATTATGCTTTTTATCTTTGTGTTACACACACATATAATCGTGTTTTTCGTGATTTTCCATGCAGAGATCAAATCTAAATCAACATGTGAAAGCTTTTCACCAATCACTGAAGCCATTTGTCTGCAGTATTTCTGGCTGTGGTGCGAGATTTTCATTTAAGCATGTGAGAGATAACCATGAAAAGTCTGGATGCCACGTTTACACTGAAGTAAGTTCTCTCCATAGAAAAGCTAAGTGTGATTGTTGATAATACACTGAATATCACATGTTGCAATTTACTTTATCAACAGGGAGACTTTGTAGAGTCTGATGAGCAATTCCGTTCAAAGGAAAGAGGTGGTAGGAAAAGGAAGTTTCCTGTTTTGGAGACTTTGATGAGTAAAAGAATTGTCCCGCCTAGAGATACTGATCCTATTCTTGAGCATGGTCCAGAATACTTGGCGTGGTTGCTTTCTGCTGGGTCTCAAGATGAATCCTGAGTTGTCTTTGGTCTCTCCTGTTAGAGGATATAAATGTATTTATGGGTGTTAAAGGGTTATCATGTGAGGGTTTGAGGATTACATGAGTTACTTTTGGTGTGAAGTAAAAATGTGTTCATAATTTTAACTTTTAAACTATAAATGCAATGTCAATGAAGCCATAATTGTACGCATGGAAGTATATTAAGAAGCTGTTCCGTTCGTCTTAATCTTATTACTTATTCCTTGATCTTATTTTATTCAGATCAGATCAGAAATATTCAGATCAGATCAGATCAGAAAGATTCAGATCAGATCAGATCAGAAACATTCAGATCAGATCAGAAACATTCAGATCAGATCAGAAAGATTCAGATCAGATCAGACCAGATCAGAAACATTCAGATCAGATCAGAAACATTCAGATCAGATCAGGTCAAAAAATTCAAACATGATTTATCACTTTTATTATTATATTAATTATGATTATTATATTATAGTTATTGTTAATAATATTAATATATTAATATAATAATAATATTAATAATAATATAATAATAATGTTAATAATATAAAATTATTATTATATTATAATAATATAATATAATATAATATAATATAATATAATATAATATAATATAATATAATATAATATAATATAATATAATATAATATAATATAATATAATATAATATAATATAATATAATATAATATAATATAATATAATATAATATAATATAATATAATATAATATAATATAATATAATATAATATAATATAATATAATATAATATAATATAATATAATATAATATAATATAATATAATATAATATAATATAATATAATATAATATAATATAATATAATATAATATAATATAATATAATATAATATAATATAATATATTTATAATTATAATTATAATTATGATTTACAATGTAATTATAATTATAATCATCATTATTATTAATATGATTGTTGTTCTTGTTGTTATTGTTGTAATTATTATTACTTCGGAGTAATTATATATTTAAATTAGTAATTATAGACATAATTATGACTATAGAAATAAATATCATAATTATAATTAAAATAATAATAATTATAAAATTAATCATAATTAAAACTACATTTATAATTGTATCTGTATTTATAATTAGTGTAATTGGTATAATTATTATAATTTTAAATTTAATTTTAATTATTATTTTTTTATAATTATGATTATAATTGTAATTTTATTTAAGTTATATTTTTAATTACAATTATAAATCTAATAATTATAATTGTAATTACAATTACAATTATAGAAATATTCAAATCAGATCAGAAAGATTCAGATCAGAAGAATTCAGATCAGATCAGAAACATTTAGATCAGATCAGATCAGATAAGCAACATTCAGATCAGTTCAGCAACATTCAGATCAGATCAGAAAGATTCAGATCAGATCAGAAAGATTCAGATCAGATCAGATCAGAAAGATTCAGATCAGATCAGATCAGATCAGAAAAATTCAGATCAGATCAGAACTTAAAAAATTCAGATCAGAAACATTCAGATCAGGTGAACGGAACAGCTTCTAATACTCCCTCCATTCCAATATAAAAGACACACGTTCCTTTTTGGGCCGTCCTAATATAAAAGACACGTTTCCCTTTTTGGCAAACAAAACAGTGTCAAACAGTGTTCCTCCTAAAAATGTTTGAAAAAGCAAATGTGCTCTCTATATATTGGGACGGAAGGAGTATAAGATTCAGCGGACGGTTGATATCATATAAGTAACATATGGCACCTCAAAATAGTTAATAATATGAGGTGAAGCAGGAGTGGACCGGGACCGGGTCTGGCTGGACTCCGGGATTGGGTGGGCTCAGGCTTAACAATTTCAAGCCTGGTACCAGTTCGGGTTTTTATTGGGACCAGGTCGATTTGGGCCTTAACAGGCTCGGGTCAGGCTGGGCTTCAGGATGGGACTAGCATTAACTTAAAGAAATAGTGCAAATGTGCAATCAGGCCTGAGCCTGGTCGAGTCGGGCCCAAAAAATGAGCCCGTAGCCTGTCCTTTTAGCTGCCGGGTTGGGCCCCATGCCATGGGGACTGGGTCTGAAAAGTAGCGGGCCCGACCGGGTCTAAACAGTATCGGGTTGTTCCGGGTTGGGCTGGGTCGATCCGTCCCAGTCCATCCTTGGGTGAAGCCCAAACATAACTTTTCTATGATTATCATTATTGCTATGATGGGCGTGTATGAGTGTATCACCACATTTGTAACTAGCCACTTTCACATTGTTTAATTTGACAACATTTATAGTAGTAAATAGCACATCTACTTTGCACCTGTCTCTTCTTTCTTGCTGCTTCCAAAATCACCCTGAAAATAAACGTATTGAACGACTCCAATACTCGATTTTTGGGTTTGTCTTTAGTAGCAAAGAAGTTTGGTACTTATTCTTTCTTTAAACTAAATTGCACCGATCTAATTACCCAATAGAGTTTGTGCTTTTAGGCTCTCAAACATTGTGAATTGGTATGTTCATTGATAGCCGCGGGCCTTTTGGTTTTCTTTTTTATTCAGAATTTACTTATCTACCTCTTAATTAGTGCTTTTCTTGTTGCGGCGGCAGCAATGGTAAATGTTGTGGCAGTTGACAACAACAATGTGCGACGGTAGCGTGATGTGTGGCGGCAGCGAAGTCCAATGTGGTAGCTATGGTATGGCCATATGGGAGGTCAGCTGCATCTGAAAAAGCTAGCAGCAACCAGCGTTTTGTAGTTAAGGCCTGAGGCTATTTTTGTTAATTTTGTCCTACACGGAAAAAGTATTTCTATTTGGGGTTTAAAATACTTCAACGACTTCTATGCGTATGTTTTAGTGTTATTTGTGTCATTCCCCCATTCATATCCTCGTCAATTTCATGACGGAAGTGTAAAATGCAGCATTATAAGAGATGAAAGCTTCCACAGGTTCGTCGGTGAATCTAAGCTTTTCCTCTACAATTTCTATCAATGGTGAATTTGACACAAGGCAGTATAATTTCACAACTCTCATTAGAGACTTTTCATGATCTGTATTGCCCATGTAATGTGTATACTTACTATACTAGCCCAACATTTTAATGGTATAGATCGACTAGAAGACATTAATCAAGTGTTTTTCCGTATCACAAAGTACTACTCTCTATATGTCTGGAAATTTCTTTCATAAGTCCGTCTAACAAGTTCCCATATATTTTCAAAATATATTTCTTTCTATACATTTTTGTTTTGTTTTACTCCACGGGCGTTTGGGGGAGTCTGGAGTAATAAGGGTTGAAACTCATTCCATTGAGTTTCAAACTCAAGACCTCCCGTAAGGGAGAGTGAGTCGGTGACCAGTTGGGCTGTACCGCTTCCTCTTCTATACATATATATTAACACCACATAACCACATTCCTTAATTAATGAAAAAGAAACAAAACAATAAATTTCTTGGATAAAGGGAAGATAATTAACACGGCCATAAGGCTACCCGCAATCAAGCTCCATCAATAAATCAAATTTCCCACTAGTTTATACGTATTCACTCTGTTAATTCAATTTTTACTGCAACCCAACACCGTCAATATTTTCACCTAGAAAAGTTTTTCTTACTTAAAGTCTTAATTTCATTACTATACATAATGTTTTTGCCAATTAATATTTTTGTGAATGATATAATTTAAAAGTCAAGCATTTCGATGTAAAAATAAATTAATTTGGAATTTAATTTTATTTTCGTTAATTTAGACCTATTGTTGAAAAAAATTACTTAAAGATGTAAAAAAGTATTTTAACCATAAGATATTTATATTAGCACTTTGATGTACTAAACAAAAATTTTGAACATAAAAATCTACAACAGATGAATTTTTTTTTTTAATTGTATAAATTTTATATATACTATATTGGTGTCATATGAAAGGTCATAAAAAATTATGAATTTTGATATTTTTTTTATAAAATTTGGAATAAAAATTAAAAAGTAAAAATACATTAAAGAAATTTGGGATTTCTTTATATATACTATATTGGTGTCATATGAAGTGTGGGTCCCGCCAAAATGATACTTTTATGCTCAATATTTGCTTTCCATATTGATTTTAGTAGCCTTTTCTCTCTTGAAGAGCCATTGTCCGTAGAAATTAAACAAAGCATTGCAAGGAAAGATAATAGGGAGAAGCGTATAAGCGATAGAAATATAGAAACAAGCCGTAATAAGCTATAAAAGCAAATCTTATATTCTTTGTTTCTTCACACAATCACACATATTTATTGCAATTATATACTTATATACGAAGTATACACTCCGTAATAAATAACTTAATAACTTATTTCACAATATCAAATCATGTACCTTGTGTGTTTGAGATTATAAGATGAGATTGAGTAAAACGTTTTTTTTATATATTAAGAATTACTTTGGCCTTGTTTAGCAATCAGGTGTTAGCTGTTAGCTGGTTATGACATCTGATTGATAATAGCTGATTGTGTCAGATGTTTTAGTTGACTGGTTATGTTAGTTTCTTATCATCAAATGTTTGGTAAATTAGTTGTTTAAGAATAGATGTTTGCATGTAAAAAAGACATATAAGGACATTAGTATTTCAAATTTTAGAAATTGATAAATGCAATTGCATGGAAAATAAAATAAATTAAAATAAACATTTTTTATTAATTTGAATAATACGAATTAAAAAATAAAGTTTGTTTGTAATTTTGATTTGTAATATGAATTAAAAAGTCGAATTTGACTAATATGAATTAAAAAATCAAGTTTGTTTGAAATTAAAAAAAAAACTCAATAAACTTTTAGTTTATAATAAAATCAAGTTTTTTGAAAGTATAATAAAATCAAGTTTAATAAACAAGCATACCAAAAACGCCCGGCCGCTCACGTGAAGCATAAACAAGCATAACAAAAAAAATACGTGCGCTGATTTGACCAAAAGAAGAAGAAGATGTGTTGCTATTATTCGAAGGGCATATAAGGGAGAAGTGAATCAGCTGAACGCAAAACGCTGCCCTTGTTAGCTTTACCATTTTCAGCTTCTTGAGTTCAACAAGCTAAACTAACCAACCATTTACCAAACAAACAATTTAGCAATTTAGATGGTCAAACCCATTAATTCTAGTCAAACAAGCCAAAAATTAGCTGATAAGCCATTTACCAAACAAGGCTGTTTTGTGTGTGGAATAAATAAGCTTAAATTGATAATATATCATTCAGATAGTAGGTAAATCGACAAAAAAATTCCTGACAACCGCCGGCCCTTGAACCAGACTCAGAATTTATCAACTCGACAGAAGCAATATAACTCGGTGATCCATTAATGGACGCAACTGAGCCAAAGATGGTTACCACAAATCTTTCATCACCCACACTCAAATCCACAGTCTTACAGCAGAAAAAAAATAAAGAGTCGAAAAACAACACGACAAAGCAGACCGCCTCAAAGAATAAAAGTGAAACTAAAAAAATAAAATTCCTTTCCCAGCTCCCCGAACATCATGAGCTTCCATGTCCTTCGCACTGGCCTCAACCGAACCATCTTAGGCGGGCTTACAGAACGAAGCCCGCCCCATCCCCATTTTTTGCCCCATCGAGTGCCATATTATCCCCCACGTTCTTCTCCTCTTCCCGCCCTTCCTAAACACGCCTTCGTTTCTGTTCTCCTGATGCCCCCTCATTATTTTCAACTTCCACGCCTTTGGTTGTGCTAATTGCTGTTTCTGAAGTAGACTTATTCCCACCTCCTCTCATTATACCATTACACTTGTTGTTCTCCATATTCTTGGGATCCCTGCTCGAGAAAGAAGACACATCCACCAACCATTTATTTCCTCCTGTAGGGCTAGCCTTCACCACTACCTCATCGGCCGTCATCAGACTTTTTATTAAGAATTACTTAAAAACCCTCTTGTTTAATTTAGTTGCGTAAAAATTTAAATATAACATGTTTGATTAAAATAGGGTCTCTTTATTAAAGTTCGACTAAGAATGATTTTAATTGGACTGAATTTATTTGATCTGATATGGTAGATATTTGATCTAAATGTTTTCACTATTGTTGGTCAGGTCCCATCTGATTCGATCTAATTTGGTTTAATTTGATCAGATCCGAGACTAAAATCAATCTACTATAGTCGTTCGTATCTCGAAGACTATTAGGCTATCTAATAAGACTATTTTATATATTTCTTCGACTAGAGTTATAATTATCCTCATTATAGTTCCCACATTATTCATTTAAAATATAATGCATATTATTTCAAACTAATTGTTTTAGTTTAATATAGCTAGCTTAGAAGTACTCGTATATTAAACCTTGCTATAAACCTTAATTTATTTAAAAAAAGGTTCTAGACCTATTATTTTACAACATTAATCTGTTATAATAAATCAATAATTTGAAACCTTATTTTAGTCCAGCTTTAGTCGAAAATCTAAAACACGTCATTTGAAACCTTGTGTGACCTCTATAAAGTAAAATGAAACACTCAGATGCACGGTGCCATTTTGGTAATAATAGTAAACTTTTTTCGGATGCAAAACACTTTCAACGTTAACATACAGCTGCATATTTCATTGAACAATCATATACAAAAAATTTGAACATTAATATGCAATATAATACAAATAACGTAAAGATGCATCGTGTATATATATTATCTCATTGCCTCACCCGTCACCGGCCGGTTGACGCAGTTATATAATTCAGAGCCATTGTTTGCTGTTGCAGCATCATCAGGATTCACACATACTTAGCACACACAAATCCGTGTGACCGTTGGATCGGATGGTTGTGTGAATCCCGAGGATGCCGCCACTGCTAAGCAACGACTTTAGCGCGGGGTGTCTCATAAATCTTGAGCAATGTAATATGACATAAACTTAGTAATATAATGACGATGAGAATGAATAATGGAGGACGATGACAGTATATGTGTATATATAGTTATATATAGACAGCTCAAGAGGGAAAAAAGATAGCTGAAGAGAAGACGTTTATTCAATGGGTTTGTATATCGATCGATACATAAACTTACTGCCCTATATATAGTACTCCGTATATATGTATAGTTGCTGAAATCCCTAAAATATTTACACCACACCTATTATCGTTTGGGTTTGAATTTTCTTATTGGCTCCACCTTTTGGGGCATCAGACTCGATCCAACACTATACTCAATCAATCCCACCTAAAAGGCCGGGACAGTTTTTTTACTTCCACTCATTTAATACTTTTGCATGTTCCACTAAAATTATCACATATAACATTTTCGGTAAATCTCATTAATATTGTTTCATACCAAATTTTGTAAAGTTTGTGACTCTATATCATTCTTACATTATCAATATAATATCTACCACACAAATTCATTTTTTTAATAATTGTGTCACTTACTCTTGCCGCAATGTTAGTGCCCAGTGGGACGGGGTAGTAATATAGATTATCTCCGTCCCAAAAACTAACATTTATAAATTTTGACCAATTATATATTTTTATTGAAAATTATTTATATTAATAATAACATAAATTGGAACAATAAAGTAAAATACAAAAGACAATTAAACAATACAAATATTCCAAGAAAATGAGTTTTCATTACAGATGAATACCAAAAAATATTTTATACGTAGTTGTTGTTGTTTTGTATGATCGAGTTTTCTTTGACAGATACGGCCGCCAAAAAAGGTTTAAACGATAGAGTATGAGGGTGTTGGGGGTGTTTGGTTAACAACTGTCAGTCATTTTTTGGCTGATTTGACTGTCATTTGGCCTTTTGACCAGATAAACCGCTAAAGTTGTGTGTTTGGTTAGTTGGCCTTTATTTTACAAACTTAATTTATTTTATTCTTTAGAATCTCTTGTTATGTCTAAATTTACTATTTTATTTTTTCATTTAATATTTATCTTAGTTGCATTGATTTTTTCAATATGTTTAGATAGAAGACTTTACATAGTTCGGTGTTTACATTATACATGATAATGTAACTCATTGACATGCTTAAGGATATTTAAAAAAAAGAATGAACATAATTTTGAGTTAGAGATAATAGTTCATTGAAATAATTACAAAGAAAACAAGCATTCCAACCCAGCTGGTTGTGAGGTTACCGTGCCTAGTGGGAGGTCTCGAGTTCAAATCCCGCTAGGCACACAAGAGTTGAAAACTCAATGAGCTGAGTTTCAGTTCTGATTTCTCCATGCTCTCCCAAGCCCCTCCCTAGCCCCCCTGGAGTAATAAAAAAACAAATAATTACGAAGAAATGTCAAAAACATATCTTTGGGGAAGACAACAAAATAGAATGGAAATAAGGGGAAAAACAAAAAACTAAAAAGTAATCCGTTAGGAATTGGAAGGATAGAATGGAAGAAAAAATAAGAACCATGCGTAAAAAAAGAAGATGGGCCATGATTGTTGACAAAGAAGAAAAAGAAAAATAATAAAAGAACAATGAAAACAAAAAATCGAGTGCCTGGACCGTGAAGGAAGAGAAGAAAAACAAAAAGGAAAAACTAAACATGCCTTTTTTAACCCTAAACCCTAAACCCTAAAGTCTAACCGAGTAACCGGTCACAACAGGTAGATTTCTAGTCATCGGGTCTGCTTGATCTTTTTTTAGTAGTAGATGCATTTATCTGATGTTTTCTTTTGTAGGTAGGCTTACATGATGTTTTCTTAATAGTACAAGGGCTAATATGACCCCCTTTTCCTTGACTTTTTATCCGAAACAGTCAAAATGGAAAAAGCAACAAACTCGGCTTTTGCCTACCATGCGTAAAAAAAGGTTAGCAAATAGCAATGGAGAAAGCTCTCTCGCTTATCGTTTCTTCACATAATTATAAAGCCTAATTGAGCCTTTAAAAACAACAAATCATGATTTGTTTTGATTCCATTTTTTTTTTTGGGGGGGAGATTATATTATGGTATACCATCGTTCCTTTTATTTCTCACACACACACATCCACGACACTTTCAAGTAATTTGATAAGAATTTCGTTTTAATAAGAATTTGAAAAATAACAATTAGAACACTAATATATAAAATATAATTGATGTACTTAAAAGTCATTTGACATGTTATCAGCTGATTTTAAATAATCATTTAACCAAACATCATTTTGCAAACTGCTAATATTATCAGTTAATCAAAACCGCCAACAGAAACCATTATCAGTAATCAGCCAACACAATTGGCCAGCAACCAACAACCATTTGACAAACACCCCCTATGTCTTTAAACCTATCTTAAATTAAATAATGCTTCTTGAATTGAACTCTACTTGGTAAATTATTAGCTCATATTAAAAAGCTACTCATAATCAAATTAATTAAAAGTCAAGCTAGGGATTCGATTTATGTTACTTATTAATAACTTTAAATAAGGCATGACAATCTGAAATTAGGCATGCATGACTTTTCTACAAAAACTCCATATTGATCGAGAAACGAATAAATTAGCTGTAAAACTGAAATTAGTTGTAAACTACGCACACTAAAGTTCTGTCATCCACCTAGAGGTTTCCCCGGTTGACCCGGTTCCGAACAGGAACTGGAACCGAACTTCTGATTCGTGGTTCCAAATATTAGGGATTCGGAAACACACATTATATTACAGGTTCTAAAATCAGCAGTTCTGGTGTGGTTTTCCGGTTTCAACTTTTTTTTTTTAGGATTTAAAGTTTAGTATTTTAAATTAAATTAATACGGAGTAAAAGAGTTTCAAAAAAATTATTACAAGAAAAAATATCTCTCATTGTTAGAATTTAAGTACATAAAGCTATCTCTTTTTTCATCATCGGCCTTTTTATCATATCTTATCTTTCTTATCTTTCTTTTCGTTTTGGTTGCGATATCATCTATCGATTCATGTTAGCCGACTCCAAATCTTTTGGGACAAAAGCTTGATGCAAAAAGATATACATTTAGAGGCAACTAGAATAACTTGTCTTAAAATGTCATTGAAGGCAACCAAAATAACTCGTCTCAAAATGTCATGTGAGACCTCCATAATATCTATCTCAAAATGTCATTAGAGGCAATCATTTTTTACCGTTTCAAATTATAACTAGAGGCAATAACAATACATTGACCCAAAAATCAATGAGGGGTAATATTTGTGTCATAGCGATATGATTAGGTGAAGGCAAAAAAGGCCATCGAAAGACGTAAAAACAACCTTGAGCATGGGAGTGACAGTGAAGATGATCTTCAGATGTACATAGAAGCTCCAGACTTACCAAGTCACCGTTGACATGAAAGGGCGTGTATACGGCATGGGGGCGCTCTCTCAAGTCTCAACCCAAGCATGTTAAATCATTTTCCCAGGACGACTGAAGAGGAAATGTAGAAGAGATTGGGCAGAACATGATGCTCGAGGCGCAAAGGCAAGTTGAGCAATACCAAATGAAAGCTCAGCTCAAATGTGAGATTTAGGGTTTGTTTGGGAGTTGGTTTTGGAGGGGATGGGATGGTTGAGAAGGGTGTATATATGACCCTTCCTTTCATGTTTGAGAGTTAAAAAATATAGAGGGGATGGTTTTGGAGCGCTTTTGTAACCCTCCCAAACTCTTTACTCTTCTCACCTCCTTGTGCAAGCAATGTGGTGTCGCCTCCCTTGTGTGGCCTAGACTTTGATTTTCAGTCTTTCCGGATCAAGGAAGAGTGATCGAGATGGAGTCCATTGATATTGTCGAGGAACGGTGGTGCCAATTGATGATTGGAGAGGAGGATGACAAATTTCCCAATTTGGATTCGACATATCAACAGGGGCGAAAATCAGTGACAATGACGTTCTTGACTGCTCGTTTGTAGCTAGGTCTTGGAAGTGGTGGCGAGTTGGTTCAGATTGGGGATGAACCTGGAAGGGGGCGGACTTTGTTCTACAAGTCCGTCTCAACGTTTGAGATACTCAAAACTATTGCGTGACAGACATTTTTTAGATTTTAGTTTGAACTTTTAAATAATTTTGGTGTCTGTATTGTTTAATTGTTGATTGTGTTAAAGTGTTAAACTCTATAATTATGATTATATATTATGGGGTGTTTTTTATATGGTAGATAGTTTGGATCAATGTCAATAGGATTTGGTAGACAATGTTGCTAACTCGGTCGCTTTAGGCTTATGTTTAGCCCAAACATTGCCCCAGGGTAATGCATTTCGGTAGTCATTTTTCATTTAAGTTGGAAAATGCAGTCAGATGTTTGGTGACAAATGGGAAATTTATGGAAAGTTACAATCCCCGCATTTTAGGTTCCTGCTCTGGTTAGGGAATCCCTCACCCTGAAATATAGAACCTCTTCATGGCCTTATTTTAAGCCCGGAAGCCAGCTGTTTGTATCTTATACTCCGTATATGTGTGTGTAATTATTGTATAATTGTAAAATAGAAGAGAACAAACAAAACTAGTCATAACCTGATGTGAACATTAGATCTATAAAATAATACTCCGTAATAACAAAATACACATACTAGACTTGTCATGCCAGAATAGATCCAACTTAACACTATAGATTAGAGTAGAACATACTTAACTTAAATAGACTGTTCCAACATACTACACCTAAACAAATTGAACCAAAATAATTCCAACCTTACAAAATCAATAATTCGTAGTAGTTAATTAAAGCTTAAAATTCATCTCCTTATAGAGAGTAGTTGTTTCACAAGCCTTGTGGTTTATTTTATGAAGTGTCAATTTTTTTACTAATACTACGTATCAAATTGTTTACCCGTGCAAGCTGGAAAGTGGACAGATTCTTTAGGACTTTAAGAGCGAAAAAGATCGGGGAGAGGATTTTTTTACCTAGCTAGTAAGATTTGGAAAATTATTACATACATGCCTAATAATTTCAGTGAATATTTTCACTTGTATTAATGTTATCTATATAAGTCTAGTCTAATTTATATAAGTCTGATCTGATTTGACATAATCTTGAAAGTCTGTTAATATGTGTATTTTATTGTGGTATAAATGATATGATGTGATTTCACAATCTCA